TGATGTCGGAGCAGAATCTAACGATACACTTTTTTGGTATTTGCACTACTTTGTTTTTTTCACCCCTCCAAATATTGCCCTAAAATTGACATTTTTCAGCACAAATATGTTTTTAACGACAAGCGCTAGGGCAATAAAATTAGCTACAGATGTAGTGCTTATAATTGGTAATATGAAGAGAAAAATTTAATGTTGTGTAAAATTTTTTTGTTTAGATATTTTATATCAAACGTAGCACTTTTTTGTGCTTCGAGTCATGGTAGTTCAAATACCGCTGAAGAAATAATTAAACTATGATAAAATCTTTTATAACATTTAGAGCTACAATGGTTGCCCAAGAGGTGGACGATGGCTTTTTTTCATTTTGAAAGTCATAACGCTCCAGGAGCCCTTCAAACTTACCTGTTTTTGACGCACATCTTTTTTGGACATCAAACAGATTTATTGGCATTTAATAACATTTATTGTTTGCAATAGATACACATTGCGATGTATTAAGTTTTCACAATGATCTTGCTTTGGTTTCTTAATAGGTGTAGAGCTTAGCTAATTTTAAAAACAATTAAAAACTATTTGGGTGTTTTGTTGCGCTACCTGGCGGATGGCAGGCAAACTGCTGATTTCTAGTGTTCAAAACATTTCCGAGGGCGGCGTTGGCGTCTGTATCATCATCAATCTCCGTGTCTTTTTACCTTCACATTTAAAAAATATATTGGAAGATTTACTATCGATGAATGAAAGGTTTAAGTGCTGGGTCAGCTTAATAAATCTAAGACAAATAATTACACACGCGTAGCGTGATATAATGCGTTAATTATTCGATATGATTGAAATCAATAAACAATAAAGACGAAGAGGAAAATAATACACCCGAGTTCACTTTATGCCTAGAGTAACTACATGAGCATTAAAGTATCGGCACTCAGTTCCCCAAAATTGGTTTGGGCGCCGCCATTCTGGGTCTTGCTCAGAGCAAACGCAACTGCCGATCATCATGATCCAAAAGTACGACTTCCTCAGCATTAGATGCGGTGCTAGGAAGCTGATGCAATATTGAAATGCTCTGTCGCGGGTTGTTTAAACATTTGTGAGGGACGGAAAAGCGTTTCCTGTGATTTTAGATAAAGCTCCATATAACTGGCAACCATGATTTTAAGCCACAATTTTAAGCCAAGTGTCGTTACTCGGAACCGCAGCTAATTTACTGGCACAAGCGGGAACAATGAAGAAGAGGGAGGTGTCAAAAGGTAGTGGCTTGTGGAATCCACGGGGCTTACGTCATGGCCCCTCCAGGTATTACAAGCCTCTTGAACAAGAGCATGAATAGTGTCATTAAAGAAGCTACGCTTCAGAGTAGCGACACTTGGCCTTATTGTGGCTTAAAATCATGGTTGCATGATATTTTAAGCTTTATCTGAAATCACAAGAAACGCTTTTCCGTCCTCCACTTTAAACAGTTTTCGACAAAGCAAAGCAACATTACATGAGCTTTCTAACACCGAATCTAATGCTGAGCATGTCGCACTTTTGAATCATGACGATCGGCAGTTGCGCCTGCTCTGCACAAGCAACAAAATGGCGGCGTTCACACCACTGTCGGGTAAGAGAGTGCCGATACTCTAAGCGCAGCTCATTTATTGGCTCTAGTTCCCGCGAAACTCCTTTTCCCTGACTGAAACTGAAAGTAAATATGAATAATACACCATTATTATAGCTTATTTAGTTATGACAAAATACACACAATGAGAGGAGGAAGCGGGCGGATAGGAGAAACGCGGGTTTTATGTGCGACCGTTCCAACCGTCTCAAAAGAAAGAACGCACGAGCAAAAAAAGGCATCAAAAGAAAAAATGCGGCACGCTGTGTTCTTTGTTATTATGCGTCTAATTGCAAATTGTTCCGGGTATGTTTATACAGCCGGAAGTTAGTCTTCTGTTGTGTGTTGGCAACCGAGGATATCCAGGGATGCCGGTGAACTGGTGCACGCGCGCAGGCACGAGACGTTCGACTGCTCTGGCCCCAACCCGGTCGGTTGTGCCCGCTGTATGCTGTAATGTATATATTATGTAAAGATTAAATACACAACATTGGCGACGAAGTGGAGTCAACCTGCGGCGGAAGACCTTCTAGAGCGCCGTTCACGGCGCCATGGCAGAAGCAAAGGCATCAGCGGCGCCGGCATTCGGCGGCATCGAAGAGTTCGCACCGAGCACCGGTGCAACATGGCCACTGTAATACGAAAGACTTGAGTTCTACATTGTTCTACAGTTCTACATTATCGCAAATGAGATCAAGTCAGCCGAGAAGAAGCGTGCAATCCTGTGCACGGTCTGCGGGGCGGCAACGTACGCCATCATTCGTTCACTCTGCTCACCGGCTCTACCTTCCGAGACGAGCTACGACGACATCGTCTCGCGACTGGCGGCCCACTTCAACCCGAGGCCGTCCGCCATTGTTCAGCGTTTCCAGTTTGGGAAGCGCGACCAGCGTCAAGGAGAAAGTATCGCCGACTACATCGCCGAGCTTCGTCGGCTGTCGGAGCACTGCGCTTTCGGGCCAACGTTGGACGACATGCTCCGAGACAGGTTAGTCTGCGGCCTCCGGGAAGAGTCCCTTCAGCAACGGCTTCTCTCCGAGCCGGAACTAACTTTCGCGGTGGCCAAAGAGAAAGCGATAGCAGCAGAGTACGCCCACCACCAGACAGAAAAGATCAGGGGGGCGTCCGCAGAGAGCAGCGATGTGTGTCGTGTTGGCAAGCAAATGGCTCCGAGAGCTAAGCCTAATGCCGAGGCAGCAAGAGGAAGGAATGCGTCGAAGTCACAGCAAGACGCTGGCAAGTGTTTTTGCTGTGGAGGGTCACACGCACCAGACGAGTGTCGTTTTCGACACGCACAGTGCCACTTTTGCAAGCAGCGGGGCCATATCGTGAAAGTTTGTCGACGAAAAGCGAAACAGTCCTCACCGACGCCTAGGCCTACAGGTGGCAGCCGCCAGAACGGCCGGCGGCGCGACAGTGAAACAGCGGATGTTTTCGGCATCTTCCAAATGACTGCCGAGGAACCTGCTATCCGCGTGGTCATAGAAGTGAACGGGAACCCTCTCGAGATGGAAGTCGACTCAGGAGCGGTGTGCTCCGTGATCAACGAGAGAACTATGCGTCAGCTGCGGTTGTCCAAGCACAAGCTGCGACCGTGTGAACTACGTCTTCGCACGTACAACCAGCAGGAATTGAAGGTGCTAGGCTCCGTGATGGTCCAAGTCACCTATAATGGGCGTCAAAAACGACTGCGTCTCGTCGTGATCAAGGGAGCAGGCGTAGGCTTGCTTGGCCGAGACTGGTTCAAGGCTCTTGGGATTGAGCTGAGAGTCAATCAGCTGGAAGTAGCAACGAACAATCAGAGCCCGTCCAGCGCAGCAGTGCTGAGTCGTCACGCCGACGTTTTCCAACCAGGTCTAGGCAAGAGCAAGGGACCACCAGTTCGAGTCGAAGTGGAACCGACTGCCCAGCCCAAGTTTTTCAAACCGCGTCCAGTTCCCTTTGCCTTACTACCAAAAGTGGATGAAGCCTTGGACAAGCTCATCAGGCAAGGCATTTTGGAACCGGTCCGACATTCCAGTTGGGCGACTCCAATAGTACCTGTGGTAAAAAAGGATGGCACAGTGCGAATCTGTGGCGACTACAAGAGTACGGTAAACCCTGTGGTCCGTTGGGAAAGCTACCCCCTACCCACACCTGAGGAACGTTTCGCGAAGCTGGCAGGCTGTGCAAGGTTTTCCAAGCTTGATTTAGACCAAGCGTACCTGCAGCTGACAGTTGACAGTGAGACAGCTGACCTTCTCACCATCACCACACACCGTGTACTTTTCCGTGTCACGCGCCTACAGTTCGGAGTAGCTGTTGCAGTCGCTATTTTTCAGAGGTACATGGAAGAGCTGCTGCAAGGGCTGGAAGGGGTGCAAGTTTTTCTCGATGACATCCTGGTAGGCGGTAAAGATGAAGCCGAGCACAACACCCGTCTGCAAGCTGTGCTTCAAAGAATTCAAGACGACGGTGTCCGGCTAAAAAGGGACAAGTGCGTTTTTGGAGTGGATGAAGTTGTATTCCTAGGATACAAGGTCAGCAAGGCAGGAATACAGCCGACAGACGACAAGGTCAATGCTATCCATGGGGTACCCGAGCCAAAATGCAAGAAGGAGTTGCAAGCGTTCCTAGGGGCACTCAACTTCTACAACAGGTTCCTACGGGAGCGGCACACACTTTGGAGCCCTTGTACAGGCTGCTCGACAACGGCCATAAGTGGAGATGGACTACGCAGGAAGCAGAGGCTTTTCTGCGGGCCAAGCAGCTACTGCAGTCTTCGGACGTCCTTGCCCATTACAGTGTCCACCAGCCACTAGTCATGGCATGTGATGCCTCTCCGTACGGACTTGGGGTGGTACTCAGCCACGTTGATAGCGAAGGCCGAGAGGTACCGGTAGCCTATGGCTCTCAAACTATGACAGCTGCCGAAAGGAACTACGCACAGACAGACCGGGAAGCTCTGGCGATAGGTTTTGGAATACGAAAGTTCCACAAGTTCATCTACGGTCGGCATTTTCGGATCGTGACCGATCACAAACCTCTACTGGGGCTCTTGCATCACGCAAAACCGATGCCTCAAGTGCTTTCGCCGAGGATGTTGCGATGGTCGTTAATGTTGTCGGCTTACGACTACGAGCTGGAGTACAGGCCTGCTCATCAGCTCAGGAACGCGGATGCACTGAGTCGACTGCCTCTAACTGTGGAAGACAGCTCAACTGACGAGAAACTGTTTGAAGTCCGGATGCTGGAGACTGCCCCGGAGATTCCGTGGGATGCCCAGAAGATTGCCCGATGCACCCGGAACGACCCAACCTTGTCCAGAGTTCGACATTGGACGGGGGTTGGATGACCTCAAGGCAGGCTGCCGGACGAGTTCAAGCCATTTGTTCGACGGCAGCACGAGTTGTCAGAGTATCGGGGATGCCTGCTGTGGGGATGTAGAGTCATCATTCCAGAGCAAGCGAGAGACCAGGTTTTGGAGCTGCTGCATACCACGCATCCCGGGATCGTCCGCATGAAGGCGCTTGCCAGAAGCACAGTTTGGTGGCCGGGTATCGACCAAGATATCGAAAGGAAGGTCCGAACCTGCCTGCCCTGCCAGGAGACAAGGCCGCAACCTGCACGTGCAAGACTGCATCCGTGGGAATTTGCCAGAAACCCATGGTCCCGAATCCACATCGATTTTGCAGGACCCTTCCAAGGAAAGGTTTTTCTTCTGGTGGTGGATGCGCATTCGAAATGGCTGGAAGTCATCCAGATAGCATCCATGTCGTCAGCAGCAGTGTGTCAAAGGCTGCGAGTGCTGTTCGCAACACACGGTGTTCCCGACACTATAGTCTCGGACGATGGGACAGCGTTCGTCTCACAAGAATTTGAAGAATTTTTGCAGAGAAACCAGATCCGGCACGTTAAGGTGGCGCCATATCATCCATCGTCAAATGGCCAAGTGGAGCGCATGGTCCAAGAAACTAAACAAGTCCTCAGGCGCATGGAAGGAGGCGACATGGCCACCAAGTTGGCCCGATTTCTTTTGAGTCAGCATATTCTCCCGCACTCAACGACCGGAAAGAGTCCGGCGGAATTGTTGATGGGTCGGAGACTCCGTACTGCACTGGACCGGGTTCACCCAGACCTACAAGCAGAGATGGTGGACAAGCAAGAGGAACAAGCGCTGCGGGGAAAACAAGGTGTACGCGAATTCGAGCCGCGAGAACCAGTCTTCATCCGCAATTATTTAGCAGGCCCCAAGTGGCTACCCGGTATCATCACTGAGATCACCGGTCCGGTGTCTTACAAGGTTCGTACCATCGACGGTCGTTTCTGGAAGCGGCACGTGGACCAAATCCGGAGACAGGAGTGGAGCACATACCTGGACGAGGAGGAGCCTACGACAGAGCTGTCACCTCAGCAGCTCTCGTTACCAAGCGAGCCATCGCTTAGGAATGAATCGGTGGAAGAGTGCCCACCATCTACGAGTCAAGCGGACTTCCCTGAGGAGTCAACCCCAGTGGCAACACCTCCAGCTTCCCCACAACGTTCACCTGCTTCACCCCATGAACCGAGGCACCAAACAGTGTTGCCAACTTCAGCGCCTGCGCAAGAACAGTCAAATCGTCCCCAGCGACAACGGCGACATCCCGACTACCTAAAGGACTATCTGACCTAGGGGGGAGGGATGTTGTGTGTTGGCAACCGAGGATATCCAGGGATGCCGGTGAACTGGTGCACGCGCGCAGGCACGAGACGTTCGACTGCTCTGGCCCCAACCCGGTCGGTTGTGCCCGCTGTATGCTGTAATGTATATATTATGTAAATATTAAATGCACAACATCTGCCTTAGTGGGCGTCTGGTGTCTCAGCTGTAGATGAACAATTTAGCCAGTGCGGTACAGCCGCAAACCTGGTGTCTTTAACGTGCGCCACGCAGTAGTGATACACGACCGCACGCCGGTACGATGCTCTTCCAGATCGAAAAAAGCAGAGGCGGGGTGGGTTCTGCAGCGCGAGCTTTCGCTCCAAGTGCTCCGAGCTGGTGTGCGCTAGACCATGCACTCGGCCACCGACCTCCCCCCCCCTTGTGCGTCTAATTTTTATACAGGTATAAGTATTTGAAGATCGACGATGGACGTCGATCGTCTCGAGGTAATGTAACGTAATAACAATGTATAAATAATAAACTTGTTGAAGGACTGAACTACTAAATTTTTCAATTCTTGGATAGTAATATGGCGGTAGCCTATTGTACTTACTGTTGATGAAGAGCAATATGAGGTGACGAGGTAATTATTAATTGATGAGGCTCCATAAGGACGACGACATTAGTGGATGTCGAACCACAACGTACAGTGCTAGACTTGTTTCAAGTATCGTGTACCCAAAGACTTTCTTCACCCGCAACAGTAGAAGGTAGAATCAATGAGGATGCTGCTTTACAGCTGTACGTTGAACAGAAAAACTGCACTGTTCAGAAGTGCGGCTTATTCGTTAATATGAGGGACGGAGTTCTAGCAGCATTCCCTGATTGACTACTTGGAACAAATGGCCTCGTTGACGTAAAGTGTCCCCGTTCCAAAAGATTCTTGAAGCATATTTAAACCGCAAAGGAGTATGAGGCGAAAAATAAGAAAAAGGAGCCTGGTGTGAACGGTCCAAATCACCACCATAGCTTCTACTATCAAATACAAGGGCAGTTACATAGTACACAAAGAGAGTTTTGGGATTTAGTTATATTTACACTGAAGGGCATTGATATCCAACGTATTCAGAAAGATGACACCTCCTGGTCAACCAACATAGAGCCTTTTCTACTCAAGTTTTACATGGAAGGCCAGACATCCGCTGATATTCTTCACGTAGACGAGTTGTCCGACCGAATAAACTGCCATTACTCCCGATCTGGGAATCTCTCGATCTTTGTTCGTAAGCCATAGTATCATGAGATCGAGGGGTGTGGCTCTTCGTCCGCCGAATATTGCTTCGGTGGGTTTTTTCCGTGTAAGATGAGACCGATGCGTGCTGCCGGAACAAGAACCTGGCGATTCTTCACTGAACTGCTTCTTCCAAGCTTCAAAAAGGGATTTTTTTTCGTTTCGCACACAATTTGTTCTGCCTGCCCGTTAGTTGCAGGATGGTATGGTGCACTAATGTGATGCCTGAAGCCGGTTTTTTTTTTTCTTCAAAAACTTGTTTATTTTATTTGAAGCAAGATTGGGCGCGTTATCAGAGAAAAGTATTTTCGGTAGGGCAAAAGTAGGTAAAAGAGACCATAGAACGTCAATGATGTGTTTGGACATCGTGGCAGGCATCGTGTAAACTTCCAGCCACTTAGAGTACGCATCGCCCATGACTCCGCAGATGTGGATACGTTTCGCCACCCACCGACTGAATAGTGGATCGTTTTCAGTTACTGTTCATGATGGCGTTGGACTCAAGGAAGACTTCGAGTCTTTCCACAAAGTTAGCCCAGGTGCCAGGACTTTTGTCGAAAGCGGTAAGTGTTCGAAACTTCGACAAATTCGGTAGCCACGTGTTGTGCTTGACACTGGACACTTACCATTCGCTGAGAAGAAACTTCCTTGTTCGTCTGCCATAAGTTGTCCGATATCAGGTCATCACCGCAACACCATCTCCCGACGAAACTGATCTTCATTGTCCGCATATCCATAGTTAGCAATCACGTCAACTTATAAATTCCCGAACGCTCATAACTTGCCGTTGCTAAACGCCGTTCATTCATAGCGTCTTCATTGCAAATAAACGTCTTCCTAGTTCTTCTGATGGTTTTCATCATATTCCTCCTAAGCTGTACTTACAACATTATGTGTGTCGGAACTTCCGAATATATTGCAACGGCGTTTGTTTTCTGGGAACCCCCCCCTCCCCCCCTTCCCCCCCCCCCCCCCTTATAATGTAACAACCTTTAAAACATCTTCCGGACCCCGTGAAACATAATATTTCGTGACCTTTTTTTAGTCGTCATTAAAATGGTGAGGTAAGTACCGTAAATCGTGAAGCAGTTTACTTGACGTCCGCTTCCACTGGTGTCTTAGAAGATTGAATCTACTGAGCGTGCATTCCTGCAGAGGAAATTTTCATTGATAGAATATTGACACGTCAATCAACATTTGATTCCTTCTTGATAAGATTTATTGCGAAAGCCCGTTACAACCGCCGACCGCATCTCCCTATATCAGAGAACAATTTATACCCAGCCTGACATTCTCGCATACATCCGTTTGATGGGCCACGCTACTTGAGCTAGCTGAGCACAGCTGGCAGCGGCGCGAGCAAGGCCACGAGGGGAACGTGATGGTGCACGAGCCATCCCACTGTGAACCAATGTTTCGGCCACCCCACGGGTGCGTGTCGCCATCTATTGGTTGAACTAACGCCTTGTTCAAGATGGCTGCCGTGGGACCGCAGCCTTAAAGCGAGATGTGTGGGGAGTTTCCCAAGGGTCATGTCAACGTATTGCCCTTGGGTTCACCAATGAGTACTATTTATTTTTTCCCAGCGTGGGTATTTTTCGTTAAAACGTTACCTCACGAGCTCCCGCGTGCATATTTTCACTTTCCTCATTATATATATAAGCCGTCTTCAGGTCAACGCCTTCATAGGCAGTTGGCAGTGGTAGCGGCAGCATCGATCACGCACTAACGCAGCGCCTTCTCGCTTAAACGTTGGGGCGCTTGTTTTTGTTTTCTTCGTGGTGCTTGATGCTGTTGAAACTTTTACTGCCGACGGGAAAGGGAACAAAAATTCAAGTTGCAGCCAAACTTCACATTTCCCTATTTGGCCCTATTTTGCCAAACAAGTGCCAGATTTAGGCTTCACTGTTGGTGCTTCTGTTCATGAGTGCCATAGCGTTCGTTAAGCTCAACGAACGGAGACCTAATTTTTATTGCGGAAACATGGCTCAGCAAACATGTATGCAGCCCTGAAATTTTCCAAGGTGATAAACCATATAATGCGCATCGTTTTGACACTCATAGCAGAGTCACAGAGCATACCTTCCTTTCGCGTAGATGTTGCTTCCGATCTAAAAATGGTGTGGGCTTGCATCACTTTAAATAACACAAGACGTTTACTGGTTATCTGATACCGCCCCCCCCCAAACAGCGCAGTGACATTTATTGATGATTTGCATTACGTTATGAATTCTATTGTTTGTCAATATCCTAGTTCTCCTATTTGTTTATTAGGAGATTTTAATTTCCCTGATATTAGCAGGTCTGAATCAGCTTTTTTCTACCTCTTTCAACTCAGAGTCAAAGTTTTTTTTTGTCTGTGCGTGTGTTTTAATTTGACACAGCTGATAACGAAACTAACAAGGTATGCCAATGATAGAACGAACACACTTGATTTAATTCTGTTGACACACCCTGAACTTCTATCTTCCCTGACCTATCTTCCAGGGTTAAGCGATCTTTCATCAATGAATTTTTATCTCAAAGTTGCTCCCCCAATCAATAATAAAAATAAAGCTTATTTCTGACTACAATCAAGCCAATTTTGATCTTATTAACCAAAAACCTTGCACCATTTGGACTATATCTGCCAGGTTTTAATCAACAAAGCGTGCAGGAAAATTGGTGATTATTTTGTTTCAAAGTGAACGAACTGATTGTTGCGCATGAACCCGGCAGGCATATTACATCTGATGCTAAAGCACATTGGTATGCTTACATTCTAAACGTCTTTTCAATAATACAGAAAAAAAAACAGCGGTGTTTTCGTCTAGCTAAATTACGTAACAGGATTGATCGGTGGGAAGCATATTTTACGGCAGAGGTCGCATGTCCCCAAGCTGTGTCTGATGTCAAAGTAATTTTTTTACAGAAAACGTTACCGAGTCTATTGTTAAAGGACCCCAATAAGTTCTGGAAGACTGTCAATATAAATGAAGACGGCTTAATTTTTATCAGCGATTAGTCTGGTGCGTTAATCCCTCCTGCAGAATAACCATCAGTGTTTAATAATGTTGTTTTTTTTATATTTTTTTTGTAGCTGATGGAAATCTATTTTATGACGTTCCACGTTGTGAGCTTAGCCTGATGTTTCCCACGGCCATGGATCCTCCTGGAGTTGTAAAGTTAATTGGTTCTTTGAAAGTATCATCGTCACGTGGAAGTCATAATATTACCTCGAAATTTCTAAGACAAACTAAAATGCACTCATCCATCTTTTTAAGGAACTTTTCCTGCAATCTCTTGAGTGTGGAAGGCTCCCAATACAATAGAAAACTGCCAAGTTGGTTCCATCGCATAATTCCGGTAACGAGCCTTCTCCATTAAATTATCGACCCATTTCACTAACAAGCATTCCCTGTAAAATCTTGGAGCGCATACTGTATTCATATTTTTAATTACCTAGAATCAAATTTATTTTTCGCCACTGCTCAACATGATTTCCGTCGCTTATTTTCTGGTGAAACGCAGCTCCTTCATTTTACCTATCCTTTGCATGCTATAGTGGACAAAAACCATCAGGCTGACAGCATTGTTTTTCGATTTTTTTTAAAGCATTCGACAAGGCTTATCACTTAAACTTTCTCCATTAAACCTAGATCCTAATTTGTTAACCTAGCTGGAATGCTTTCTTACCAACTGCTCACAATAAGTAACTCTAGGTGGCAAGATTTCATCCCTGAGAGATGAGGTATCAGGCGGGCTCCAAGGTTGGGTTTTAGGCCGGCTTCTTTCTCTAATATTCATTAATGATTTATCAAGTTGTGTTTCCTCTTCCATGCATTTATACGCAGATGATTGTAATTTATCGGGAAGTTCTTGATGATGATGATGAATTCCTTTTGCAATCTGATTTAAATAATATTACTCTCGTGCAAAAAATGGCGTATGGAACTCGGCCCTAACAAATGGAAACTAACGCGGGTTTCACGGCAAGGCGCGCGCCCTACAGCATATAAGTTAACCAACATTCAACCCGAATCTGTAAACTCATGCCGTTATCTGGGTGTTACTATATCATTGACGTTAACCTGGAAACCTCATATCGATATAATAATCGCCAACGCTAACCCCATGTTAGCATATTTACGACGGAACTTAAGAGCGGCCCCAGTTAACTTAAAACTTCTTCGTTATAACACTCTTGTACGGTCAAAATTGGAATACGCAGTCTCTATTTGGGGACCCTGACCACGCCTTTCTACATAAAGCACTCGAATAAATTCAAAATAACGCGTTCGTTTAATTTTGTTTAATTATATTCGAACAGCCAGCATATCATCAATGAAGCCCAGTTCGTTGTTACCCCCTTTGTCATTGCATAGAAAGTGTTTCCGACTTTGTTTGTTTCATAAAGTGTACCATCATCAGTCGATGCGAGACACATACTTTACATTGCCTAACTATCACTCTTCCCATCCAGACCATCAGAATACGGCTGGATTAACACGTTGCCAAGCGAACACTTTTTTTTATTCATTTATACCGCATCCATCAAACGAGTGGAACCACCTTCCAGGAGATATCGCAACTATACCCGTTTATTTTCTTTTTCGACAATCTATGTTTACATTTCTGTTTTATTAGCCGATATGAGCCATTTTATTTGATTTATTTTGTTCGTAACAGACGTTGCTTACAGCTTTTGCCAATCGGAGTGTATTTTTTTTTTGTTTGAATTTGTTGCCGCATCTTTTTGTTTCGGTCATTTTGTTTTATTTTTGTTTGCTTTATCCCTCCCCTCTACAACGCCTTGGCGCTTGACGGTATGTACAATAAATAAATATTTGGCTGATGTCTGGCACGTTGGCAATTATCTGGCGAACCAAAGAAAAGCTATATAAGTGCCCCAAAAAATTGCCCTGGTCCAAAACTGCATTAGGCCCAAGTTAGATCCCTATGATCGCCAAGCCTGGGCCAAGTTAGGCGTTTCTTTGGCACCAGAGTCACGCGTTGGCCTCGGATCAGCAGAAATACTTTTTGAGGGTTTGACCACGTCTTTGGGTGCAGGTACCCGTGTACAGGGGCAACGCCTTCCCATTGTCCGGCACACTGAACACGGAGCCGGCCTACTTCGACCAGGACGGCTTCGGTGGAGCGTCTGAGGACTACCCTGTGGGGGCCAACCCCGCCGGAAACTTCTCGGAGCACGCCTCCATCCAGCTGGTCCGGATGGTCCGCCAAATCCCGGGCCAGATCACGCTGATCCTGCTGGGACCGGCCACCAACGCAGCGCTGGCCATGATGCTCGACGAGGGGTTTACCGAGAACCTGAAGGCCATCGTCATCTTGGGAGGAAACTACAAAGGTGAGCCAGAGAAACAAAATTGGTTCATTTCCCAACCGCGTTCTAAATCCGTAATATTGTCATTTCATTTCATTCATTATTCCCTCAGGGCCCGAAGGCATTAGAGAGGGCAGTGGGCGGTTACTCAAAACACGTAAAAGTAAAATAGTTGAGTGAGGCAAAAACGAAAAAAAAAACAAAAAACAAGCGCTACGCAAATTTGTTAGAAAGTTAGTAACAATGAACAAAACTTAAGGGCCCAAGTGAGCTGGCGCATATCAAACATTTTTGTGAAAAAAATTCGAGACTGAGATATTGACAGATGACGACAGAGAAGACAAGAAGCACGTCCCAAACACAGCTAAACCTTTATTGAGGACAGAACCGTTTATATAGGGTTGAAAAAAGAAGGAAGGAAAAGGAACCCTTCACACCACCTCTCTCTCTAAATAGAAAAAAACGACACCAGGCTTTTAAAAATGGGGTATAACCAACAAACCATCTGACAGCACTAAGGATGACACATCAATAAAAAAAAAAAAACGCTGGGAAAATTATAAACTGCACAGGACCCTTCACTGAGGGAGTCAGCTATAAGGCTACACAAAGGGGCATAAAAGGTCGTAACAAGAACTAAGTAAAAATAATAATTTTTTGTAAAAATATTAGTAGAGATTTAGAAACCGCTTCTATTCCGCTTCTACGAACAAAGAAAACCTGTTCACTGTATGCTTGTTAACATGCTTGGTTATCGCGATTGACTCTCGCAGCAAGTCCTTGCGGTCGTTTCTTTCTGTTACAATTGTGGTTGTCGAATTCTATAGTGGGACGCACTTCTTACATTCCTGACTATGCTTGGATACCTCAGAAAATGCATCCTTGTTTTTGACACATCGTTTATGTTCGCCTAGCCTATCATTAAGACAACGCTTCGTTTTACCTACCTATATAGCACAAACCACAATCAAAGGGGAATTCGTATACCACACCTAAAGCGTTGTGTTAATGATAGACTAGGTGAACATAAACGATGTGTCAAAAACAAGGATCCATATTCCGAGGTGTCCAAGCATACTCAAGAATGTAAGAAGTGCGTGCCTTTATGACACTCGACAACCACAGCTGTAACAGAATGAAACGACCACAAGTGCCTGCTGAAAGAGTCAATCGCGATAAAAAGTATGGGAATGCAGTGAACAAGCCCCCTTTGTCTATAGAGGCGGAATGGAAGAGGTTTCTAAATCTCCGGTTATATTTTTAACATCATTTTTTTTTTTTTGCTTTTACTTAGTTCTTGTTACGACGTTTTTTGCCCCCTTTGTGTAGTCTTATAGGGGTCTAGCACTTTTCGGTGTAAGGGATGTTGGTGTAGGACGCTTCGGTGCGGACTTTTCGGTGCACGGTTGTTTCGGTAACTAGCTGCACTCTAAAAGAAGTTTGTGCTTCTACTTTCCCGCACAACACTTAGAGAGCAAATCGCCGCAACTTACGGAGGCAGCACAGCGAATGACGCTGCCGAAACATATGTTTATACCAAAAAACGCAGTCTGCCCAAGCAGCACAGAGTTGGCCAATTATTTGCCAATGGCTGGCAATGGTCCTTTGGCCAGAGGCCAGACAGTGGCCAGAGATTGGCCGATGCCTGGCCTTTCTCTGGCCATTGGCGACTGGCCACTGGCCATCAGCCGTCGGCCAAGCATTGGCTGATGAATGGCCACTCTTTGGCCACTGGCCGCAAGACCATCCACAGCCACTGGCCATTGCTTGGCCAAAATCCGTGCTGCTTGGGTGAGTTGTGACATTATGCAATGCAAAACGTCACGCTTGCATTGCTTAATGTCGCAACTCAGACTGCGTTTTTGGGTCTAAACATAAGTTTCGGCATTTTCATTCGCTGTGCTGCCTTCGTAAGTTGCGGTGATTGGCTCTCCGGGAGTTGTGCGGAAAAGCAGACGCACGGGCTTTTTTTAGAGTGTGACTACCTCACTGAAGCGTCCAGTGCAGTTTATAATTTTCCCGGCGTTTCTTTTTTTTTTTTTTTTTTTATTGATGTGTCATCCTTGGTGCTTTCAGATGGTTTGTTGGTTTAACTCCATTGTCGGAAGCCTGGTGCCGTATCTTCTGTTGAGAGAGGTGGTATGAAGAAGGGTTCGCTTTCCTTCTTTCTTTCTTGAACCTTATATAAAGGGTTCTGTCCTCAACAAAGGTTTAGCTATGTTTGAGACGTTCTTTTTCTCTTCTTTGTCGTCGTGTGTCATATAACGATTCGTAAACGCGTCAAGATTAAAACTGGTGTTTTTATTCTCTCCACTTCTTCATCCTCCTCTTCTTGATATGTCCTGGCCTATCGTCGTCTTCCTTCTTGTCTGCCTCTTGGAACACTACACACGCTGGGGCTTTTGTCCTCAACCCGCCTGGGGTGATATGGAATTATATTCTTAATCAGGGATGGGCAGTATTTCAAATACAAGTATTTGAAATACGTATTTCAAATACTTTGTGTATTTTGCATTTGTATTTAATTACAAATCGGGTAATGTATTTGACGTGTGTATTTAAATACTAAAACGCGGGTATTTGAAATACAATTGTAATTAAATACAATTTTGTGCGCGAAAATACATTTCTCAAATTCATTGTTACGACTCGTTTTGCTCATCCTAAGACGTGTCCTAAGCTGCTCTTTCTTCATCTCAACGTCAACGGCAACAACAAACCAAGAAACTCTTTATCTTTTCATACACCAGTCCTGTTTCTCGTCTCGCTCGCAGCTCACCGCGGGCGCCCGGGCACGGCGGGCAAGCATAGCCATAGTTGAGACCTTGAAACCACAGTGGTTGAAACTGTTGAAACTGCCAGCCTGCTGCTGCTGCACGCCTGCCCGGGACCCCGACCTGAGGGCGCCGTCTGTGCACTGTCAGGGAGATCGGAATCGAACGCCTCGTGCAAAAGGGAGCCGGAGACGAGCCATCCTTGCAGAAACAGACTCCTTGCTCCCTCCCCCTCTCCCCCCTTCCCCCCCTCCCGCTCTTTTTTCTACACACACACACACGCGCGCGCGCACAGAGCCGATAGAGCACACGAAAAGCAAATAGCACAATACAACGTTCTCGATGACCGAAGCCATGGAGGCTAGGGGCTTGGAAGTCCAGGGTGTCTAGAAATGGTGAGGGGGCTTTTTTCTTTTCTTTATTTGTTGATTTTGCAAAGGACTTCCACGTTTTCTGACATGCAACAGTGTTAGTGCTAGTGCCTCCTGCCACGAGATTCGTTCGGATGAGTGGGGCGCTTGTCACAGTGCACGCTTTTCTTCGCGGGAGCTCGACGGAAGGGTAAGTTTTCAGAGCGGCGCTAAGTGGTTGATGGCGCTTAGTGGTTGGTTTCCTATTCGCAAATCCAAAGAAGTCGCCGCTATCTAGTGGTCGATACATGACGCGTTGAAACGAAGAGCTCGCGGCGATTGGAATGCGCAGCGAAAGCTGGCGCAGCCTAGGGAACGAAACTTGAAACAGAGGAGCGAGTTTAAAAGAGCACATAGTTGGGGTTGCGAATATCCTAACTCGTGAATTCATTGCTTTTTCGAAGTGTAGACATTTCGCAAAGATTCGTACAGCTGGAACGCGTGGCCTTCTTAGAAACCCAAGTCCTAGTAGTTACCCCTTCCCTCTGACAGGTTGCCGGCCTCTACGCCTCAGTAAGATACGCCGCAGTAAAAAAAATGTTCCCGTACTGACCGTTTGCACGATTGCGGATTGGCTGCTGATAACTTCGAAACGACTTTTTGGTTTGTGTTTAATTTCATTTAGTTTTATTTCCGCAATCTTAATATCTTGTGAGCAAAATTGATGTATGTGAGCCAAACTGATGTGCTGTCGTGAAAGTACTTAACAACATCACGCAAGCCTGCGTTTTTTTTTTTTTGTTTTTTTTTCTTTCTTTCTCTTTCTTCGAGGAGCGCTTGCTTGGTGAGTTGCTAAAGAACTAGAGCTGGTGTGACGGCCAGTCCATGTGGACCGCACGGGGGGGCAGCCCGTCGACGCAAGTGAAATGCCGTTATCATCTCCCTGGTTGACAGCGTGGTTTGGGTGAAAGGACAGAGCTGATTTCGCAAAAAAAGAAGAAGAAGAAGAGAAAAAAAAAGAGGTTGCTGATTAATACATTGCTTCTTTTGACAGCGTTTCGCGGCGTCCGTCTATAGATTTCGTTTTTGTTTTTCTTTTTAGTCAACCCGCGCTATTCGCCTCGAGGTCCAGTTTCTAAAGCGGGGACATGTGCTTTTGTTTATACATGGTTTCCTATGGGCATTCTCTCGTGAACGCAGAGCAGATGACCACAACCGTCCCCGCTTTCAACGTGAACCACAAGCAACGCTAGAGACGCGAGATCTTGGCTTGAGACGCTGCGTTTAGCTAGACGCTAAATTAGCGCCTTTTTGAGCTTCGACCACGCGTCTGTAGCCTTCACTGTGCTCCAATTGAGTGCAAATTGAGGCACCGTGCGCGTGACGGTTCGATCTTGAGGCGAATACTGCGTTTTGGTCGGAGCGCAGCGGAACTACGCGCCATCCCACCCAATCCAGCGTTGAGAGTGCGTGAAGAGGCCTTGAGCTCCGCGTGTCGCTCGTCCCAACCGTAAGGTCACGTGATACTCTGCCGGCGCTGGGTTGGCTGGGATGGCCCGCAGGGTTCGATGCGCTCTGACTGAACGTGAAACAAAGTCGACCCCGCGGGGGAGGCACTCACTTGATCGAATGACGTTTTAGCGAACGCCCACGTTTCACCGAATGACACTTTAGCGAACAGTCGGCCGCCGCGAAGCGGCGTTTAGGGGTGGGACCAGTGGGTTCACATTTTTGTAATGAGCCGCCGCAGACTGTCGCCACAAAGCGGCGTAAAGCGCAGCGCGGCGGATGAGTTAACGCGCGCCCCCGTTATTCGCTAAAACGTCGGTTCGCTCAAATGTCGCTGTTCACTAAAATGTCATTCGCTCATGTGATATGGACCCCGTCCTTTTGCGATAGC